ACCATTATCACATCGTCAAACACTTTCTACTATCGATAATATTCCATTAACTATAACAGATAATGATCTTCAACGAGTATCACCTTCATTCATACTCATGCAATCATCTCCTACCGGTGGTAACTACTTTCATCATTCTCATTTTTATTCTAAATTATCAGTTTTCTAGCAAATGGTTCAACAATTTATTCTCAACCACAACCACAACCACAAATAGTTCATAGTACAACTCGATCAAATACTATGCCATCATGGCGTGGTTATTTACCAATAAAATTTGAATCAACTACATTAGATCAATATCAAATGACACCTCATTTTTCTCAAAAAGTTTTTCTTGGTGGTATTCCATCTGAACTTACTGAAGGTTATTTATTCATTCAAAACTAGTTTTTTTTCTTCTCTTCATTATTTACTCAATTAATTTTATTTTAGCTGAATTATTACTTGTATTAAGAAAATTTGGTAAATGTAATATCAAATGGCCAAAGAATAATGGAATCAATCATAATATGCCTGGTTAGAAGTTCTTTTTTTTCCACTAATCCTATTTTCTAGATGATCAGTATTTTATCCTGCATGAGAATCGAATAGTGGTACCCTTCCAAAGATTGAGTTAGTTCTCCCACAATTGATGGTTATTGTACTATTTGTCTGTACTTCCAAAAATAGATGTTTGACCTTCTCGAGTTTTAAGTCATCTCTTTAGAAGAGAGAATCTCGATAAAATATTATAAATAATTGTTATTGTTGAAGGTTTTTGTCATGTTGTTTATCGTGAATCACGTTCAGTTGCTGAACTTCTTAAACATTGTACTCGACAACAACGTTCAACTATTGATTATTTTCTTCATATTCATATCTTACCAACAACAACTGGTTTGTCTATTCGTACAACTCGATTCAAACCTGTAAGTCTTATTATCTTCTTTGTTTTTTGATTTTGATTTTTCTTTGTATAATTAGATTCAAGTTGTTCCTTGGAATGTAAAAGATAATGTATATGTCATGCAACAAGATAATATGTCAAATAATGAAACATCTTATAAAGATTGGTCACGAACTATTTTTGTTTCACCACTTCATGGTAAAATGACTGCATTTAGTCTTAGTACAATCATGTCAAATGTATTTGGAGCTGTTTTAATGGCTCAAATCAATACAGATAAATATGGATATCCAACAGGTAAATATATTTAGATATTCTTATTATGTTATATAAAATAAAGAAAAAAAAACATATTGATTATTAGGTACAGGAACTGTATTATTTTGTGATTCTCATAGTTATATGCGTGCAGTAGCTGCTGGTGCTATTGATATTAAATGTGATTGTTTTCATAAATTAGTGAGTTGATTGAATTTTATTTGTTTTTTTTTTCTAATAGATTATTGAATAAAAATGTTTAGCTTGATATTGATCCATTTTTACGAGAAAATGAACCATGTGCATTTTGTCCATTGATTGCTGATCTCTTTTGTCGAAATTTTCATTGTCTTCGATCATATTGTAAACAATGTTGGATAAATAGACATGGATCAAAACCACTTGCTGATCATCAACCTGCAACTCGACGACAACAACCATTACAGCATATTTGAATTACAAAATGTATAGAAAACGAGATTATTCGTCTCTTTTTAACTTTCTTTAATTTTCTTTTGTATACAGTGTCTTTCGTTTATTATCGAACTAGGGTGTTTGTTTGTTTTTTTTTGTTTTTTATACATTTGAAAAAATAATTGTTGTGAGTTGCGTATGTGAACTGTATTTTTATCAGCAGAACTGCAATCGATCGATGTCGCTTATCATTATTTGTAAAGGTTACTTCTTATTTGAACTAATCATAATCTATTTTGTTACCGATATTGTATATATTTGTAAAATAATAATTTTATGAATGAAGTAAAGTGTATTTTATTTTGCTTTCGTTTGTGTTTTGAACCTCTTTATTTGCTATTGTTAGGATTTTTCTATTGTTTTTCTTGAAGAAAAAATACATTTGAGATGCTAGAATAAGTAAATGAATCATTGACGATGAAGTTTTGATTCTTTTTTTCGTTTTCAATTAACGAAAACTTTCCACTAATGCAAACTTAAGAGGAGCTCCTCCTCCTTTCCAAGGTTTCTCGGGAAGAAAAAAATGATGAAAGTGTCAAGGCAGATAGATCTCGATAAGTAGAGCAAGCGATGTCATAAACTGAAAATTTCCAGTTGCTTTCTTCAGAGAGATATGGAGGTCACAAAGGTCAGAAAACGTATTTTTTCAATGGTACCAATTTTCTAAAGGCTGCTGAATACATTCCAATTTGATCAAAGTACTCATAAAAAAAAGTGAGCCCGATTGAATGTACCATGTGAGAGACAAGGGAGAACTTCATTTTTTTTTGTTCAACAATTGATTGTGAGAAAAAAGCAAAACAAACTTTCTTGTATATATCAAGACTTTTTTTTCTTAAACTAAAATGATCGAAAACTGGTGGTATTAGAAATTCATGATCCATATACTCAGCACCTTTAGAAATTATCATTAGGAGAATGTTGCATACTAAGAATAATTGCAGCACGAGTATTTCTTCTAGAGATTTCGAGAGTTGGATTTAATAAAAGTACTAACTAACAACGAAGAACCTTCTTTCATATCGCATTTGATAGAGGACACTTCGAAGTTATATTACCGATGAAAAACCAAAAATCGAAAAAATTTTCATTTTAACATCTGAAATGGAGATCTGCTTAATGAGGAAAAAAACTTAAGGATAAAACATTGACGAGAAACTTTAATTAGTTTCTCACCGTCAAATCAAACTTTACGTTAGAACTTCATTCATTTGTGTTAATAAACATTCAGTAGTTTTCATAATGATATATTCTATAAAATAACCGACCTCGAATATTTTTCTTCACGATCAATATTTTATTTTTTCTAACGAACTATTCATATGAATGCATAGATAAACGTTTTGTTATTTCTCGAGGGTAATTTTGAACAATTTTTAGACTATATGAATCATATCTTTTTTCTCTTTTCTTACACTATGACATTCACTGATCTATTTCCGATAGAAGAAGAAAAAAAAGAGAGAAAATCGAAATTGTTCATTCGTGTTGCACGTGCTTCTTAATTCAGAAAGAAAAAAGATAGGCGCGAGTCTAATAAGATCGATTTATAACATTGAAAACAGTTCAATTGAGTATCATATATTCACATATGCCACGTCAAAGTAAAAAGATCTCAAAAGATTCAAATGCACCTAAACGACCATTGTCAGGATATTTTTTATTTGCACGTGATGAACGACCAAAAATTAAATTGACTCAACCAAATGTTGCTACAACAGGTAAAAAAAAACGTTGTATTCTCTTCTTTCGATGAAACATAAACTTACAATATTTTATTTTATTATTTAATTTAGAAGTAATGAAAGTAATCGGCGAACGATGGTCAAATTTAGATGTTGATTTGAAAAAACAATATGTTAAATTAGCAGCAGAAGAAAAAATTCGATATGATCAAGAGATGGCTATTTATCGGCAAAAAAAAACAATGACAAATCCCATTGTATCGATGGACAACCAAGTATCCATCAGCGAATAAAAAATTTAGCTCAGTCATAAACGAATTAATAAAATACAATCATGGACAAAAACAGTTGCCCTCAATGAAGTCCTACTATTCTTTATGATATTGAGCTGATATTTCGGGTGCATGTGTACGACAATAAGACCTGATCACAAGTACCAACCCGCCCTTAATCGGTTCATATAAACTGAAGTTATGATGTAGAAAAAAAAGCCATTCCACCAGCTACTGCTGTTTCTTTTTCTAGCCCTGAAGATAGTCCTATATAGCATGCTCTGAGATAGTGATTCATGTCGTAGCTCGATAACTCAACTTCATTTAACGCTATGATTCTAAAACTTTTAGAAGAGCTTGTCGCGTTTCATGAAAATTTACTACTAAAATTTTCAAATGAATTCATCTTGGAAAAGATCTATCTTACTAGAAACTAGCATTAGTTCTTAAACAGACAATCTTAATGAGAAGACAATATCTCATTTATTTGAAAGTGATTTTTAACAAAACTCGGACTAGAGGTAGCTATTACATCGATCTTTGGAATGAGGGACTGGATGAAATTATTTGTGTCAACATGTTTGAGATAAGTACTTGTGATCTGTCACACGCATATGCCCAAAATATCAGCTCAATATCATAAAGAATAGTAGCACTTCAGAGGAAAGCGGCTACATTTGTTCATGACTGTATCAAATAATCTTTTGATTTGTATGTGTGTTCAAATTGATTTTCTCTTAAATAAATGTTTAGTCTAAATATAGAAAAAACATAAATGATTAATTATTTTAGATTTCTATTTAAGCTTCTATTTTTGATGGACGAAAATTTTATAAAAATATCTATTTCTTCCGATTCAGGTAAATTATTTTTTTTTTAAAAAGCTTAATTTCGAATGAAAACATTATTTTTTTTGGTGTAGGTTTACATGAGAACAATAGTCATTTGTCAAAATTTCCATCACTATGTTCATCATTGACATCCGACAAAACACATGAAGTTACAAATGGATTAGAACATAAAAGTTTTTGGCATGATGATTTTAATTTTTCACGATTTTCAACAATGGCTCGTTGGTGAGTTTAAATATTTATTGATGGACTAACTCTTTCGATCGAATTTTATCTAAAAAGTCTTTGACAATTAGAATTTTTATGAATTGAATTAAACAAAACAACTTCATCATTTTTTTTATTTGTTTCTTTCTCCATATTTATTTCTCTTGAGTAGATAGAAACCATAATCGTGATTAAATTTCGAAGTCTTTCGTATAAAAAAATTGATATATTTTATAGGCAATCAGAAACTGGAAATCTAAACCTTCATTCGAATTCTTCTAATCAAGAAATACCTTCTACCACGAATGATCTTTTGTAAGTATAATAAACAATTCATTGAAGTTTCATGTTTTTAAGACTTGATGTATTTAGTGCAAAGAAAAATATTCCTTCAACATCATTTATTGATGTGTTGATTTCACCGATGTCACGCTTATCGACATCATCATCACTTATGTCGTTTAATAGTCTTGGCAATAATAAGACATCAGAACAGTTATTGGTGAGTACTATTATGTTCATGTCAAGACTCACAAAGATATTAGGTTTTCTCTTACTAATCCTAAACAATGAGATATATCGAAGGTTTTCTTGGTATATATCACTTACTCAATTTTGATTACTAAAATGTCGAAAAGTTATATTGAAAATTGATTCGTCTATATTACCGCATTAAACAAATTTGAAATTTTAAAGCAATATGAATATTCCTCGTAATAAGAAACATGCTAAAATTTGTCGTTGATTTCGATCACTAGTACAGAGCTTTTAAGGCTATACATGTTAACAGAGAGTTCGAAATAAAAATTGACATTCAATTTTTTTAGTGTCGATCAACAATAACCAATTCAACAGACCAATTAATCGTACCAAATGAAAATGTTAATCTTTTGTCTTCGGCGGCATCGTTTCTACCATTACCAGGACCATTATCACATCGTCAAACACTTTCTACTATCGATAATATTCCAT